CACTGTCCTGCTCTCTGCAAAAATCATCCAAGCTCAAGTTGGCAAAATAGGTAAAGGCATTCTCTGGGGAGCTGCCCTCCCTGGCAGAGATGAACTTGATTTGTAAGGCGTGGTCTGGTAGAACTAAGAAGCTGCAAGCTTTACTCTGGTGTTTTGGGCAGTAGTAAAGACGAAAACGGCTTTGTCTTCAAGTCAACACTCTGTTCCTTTCTTGCCTCCCAAACTTTTGAATTTTCCTATCAGGTCCCACAGGGCTCGGTTCTCTGGGTGTTCTTCAAGTCTGCCCCTCAGGCTGTCCGTCCAGCTTCAGCCCAGGATCAGGCGGTATTGACCCAGGCTGCCCGTGAAAGGAGGAGGACTTTGAATGGTGAAGAATAGGATGGTGGGGGCGTTAGCCCGGGTGAAAAAGGAGCAGGCTGAGGGCTGAGGTGGCTGAGTTAGGACGGTTGGCAACCACACATCTGCAGCCTCTTTTCTCCCTTCTGCCCTCTTTCTGTCTTTCATCTTCCTCGGAGCTTTGTGACATGTGAGCTGCCCTCCTTATGCTCGGAGGAATCACTGCCAGTGACAGAAAGGAGATTATAGGCTATATTTCTGCCTCCGAGCTTCCTGTGGGCGGTAGGGAAACAAGCGGAGCTCGCTGCTTGTCAGTTCTGGGAAAGGAGAAATCTATGTGTATTGTAGCCCTGAAGCTGTGTCCCACGCAGGGGCATGCCCGTGTCACCTCTGATCATCCTCCCTCTCGCTAATGTGCATTTTATTAATCCCAGAGCGGGAGGCAGGTAGGCTTCTCTTGACTAACGCTGGTCTGAATCCTATCTGAGGAATCCCAGCGTCGCCCCAGGGCAGGTGGAAGAGCAGCTAGAGCAGAAGTCAGAAGCCTGTGACTGCGGCAGGACCTCAGGAGGGCGCTCTTCCCGACCAGCTAACACGCACACTCTCTAGGGTCACAAGGAGCTTGATGAGAGACAGAAGCCGGAGGACATGGGAAATAGACAGGGTTTCTTACCTTGCTTAGCTCTGAACCTAGGCCTGCCCCTGACCTCATCTCTATGTGCCTGACAGAGGAGAGGATGGTAAAACAGCAGCCAGAAGCAGCACCGAACACACATGGCAGTACTTCCCACCCAACTTCGAATATAAAATCTACAGGACAGGAAGAGAAAAAGGAAGGAAGGTGGGGCAGGGGGAAGGAAGAAGAAGGTTGGAAGGGGGAGGAGAGGAGAGAGGTTGGGGATTGATTGACTCATCTTTGGGCTCAGGCCCAGGCTCCTGGTAGATTCTTAATACACAGGCTGAATTGAAGAGATTTGCAGCTTCACAGGAAAAGGAGGAGGTATCACAAACAATAGCTCACAGGGGTTCTCCCATCTGCCACATGGGTCTCAGAGGCGTGGAGCACAAAGGGGAAGGATAACTTTGAAAGGGCTCCAGGAATGGCCCCCTAAGCATGCCCACCTCTCTCTTCCCCTCCCAGGAAAACAACACTGAGTATATACTGCCAACTGCAAGCGTTTGCGTTGCCCTGGTAAGACAAACAAGAACAAATAGGGCAGGCTGGGGAAATGAGATGTATGAAACCTCTGCTGCTAGGAGAAAAGGTGTGAATATACCTGGGTTTGGCTTTCCTAAGCTCCGTTAGCCACACTTATAAAATGGGAACAACTACTTAGCAAGGAAAAAGATGTTTCTCTTACGCCGCTGGTAGGCCATGAACATGACCCTCCTTCAAGGACTCTGTGGAAGGTCTTTAAAAGGAAGGCAGCCTTGAACTTGGCAATTCCACATGAAATCACCCTAGGAAAAGGAGCAGGAGTGGGGTAAAAGTCAGCTGGCGAGAATGGTCGTTATTTGCTGATGGTAGAAAAACTGGAAATAATCTAAACAACATAAAATAAAACCTTAGATGGATAATTACAGCACATTCATAAAATATAATGTTATATAACTATTAAAATGAATTCTACTAGGCGGTAGTTGTGCATGCCTTTAATCTCAGCACTCGGGAGGCAGAGGCAGGTCGATATCTGTGAGTCCTAGACCAACCTGGTCTACAAAGCAAGTTCCAGGACAGACAAAGCTACACAGAGAAACTCTGTCTTAAAAAAAACTAATAATGATGATGATGATAAAGAAAATCCCCTTACAGAAAGTTGTACTATATTGTCAAATACTAAATTCTGTGTTAATATGGTACTATTTTAAGAAACAAGCATTTTGTTTCAAATATCAAATGTTGGCCATCTTATTATAGCATTACAACTAACAGCTTTACTTCTCTTATTTATCTATTTTCTATAATAAGTAAATGTGTTTTGTAAACATGATAAAATATTACTTCAAAGATTAATTTTAATAATGAAATAAAGTATTTTCTATTAATGTACTTTGGAGACTGAGAACCTGTAAGATGTGGTTTCTGGCTCTGAGGTTGGCAGTTTGGAAAGAGGATGGCACGTATGATGACCGTAGCATGAGACAGAATATGGCAAGAGCTTGCAGAGAATGACAAGCAGTGTGTTACTTAGAAACAAAGGGGAAGAAAAATTACTTTTGGCTGCTGAGGCAGCCACCAGAGTGTTTGAGATGAACATTAAAGAACGGCTAGGGTCCTATCAGGTAGAAATATAGAATGGAAGCATTGAGGGAACTGAGACACTGTGGGCCAGCTGTGGCAAAGGAGAGTGGTTCTGATTGGGTAGAGAGCAGTGGACCCCTGGGTATAGAGAGGAGGATACACCTAGACAGATAGGGTCCCAAAGCAGGCACCCAGAAAGCTTTGCTAGCGTGCTTCTGAGTGCCTCCGATAGCAAGATACCCCTGGGTGTCCTGGTGGCGGAGCAGCTATAAGCCCATGAAAGGCCATGACTTCCTTCTCTTACTGTTTGTAGATAAGTCATTTGTATGGACGCACTGAGGGTTGATGGCACAGACCAGGCAGGAGCATGACAAGTGTGACCAAGGAGGATGGCCTGTCTAGGTTGTGCCACAGGGGATGGAAAGGAGGAAAGATGGTTCTTATCTCTGATTACGAAGTGATGAGAGGAGATAGTGTCGGGGAGTGAAAATTACATGGATCTCAGAGAAGAGGAGTCAGACATGCCTCCCAGGTTTGCAGCCTCTGTGTCCAGAGCCCTGGGACTCATTACAGAGTTCACGGACAAGGTTACGTGGAGGAGGAGGGTGAAGGAAATGAGACAGGAGTAATTTGGCACTAACAGCGCCCCATCCTCCATTGGTGCTGATCTCTCTGGCCCCTGCAAATGTGTCTCGCTGTTCTTCGTCTCCTCTTGGGAGGAGTGAGGGGCACGAAGAAGGCAGGGAGGTTGGATTAACCCAGAGGGCGCTTGTTAGTGTAAACGCAATGGCTACCTGTTTACTCTAGGAACATCTCTCAAGCTCATCCTATCCCAGTACACCTTATTCTCTCTTGCCACTGGGAATTCTGACCTCCCTGGGGATCCTGGATGTTGTCTGTCTGCCACCCTCACCTCCCCAGCAATGTACACACACGCACATGCACACGCACGCACACACACACACACACACACACACACACACACACACACACCAGGCAGGAAAGCCTTGTCCCTCAGGCCGATGTCTAGTTTCTGTTTCTCTGCTGCAACCCCAGTCTGGGCTGCTTTTCTCGGCCCCTATCGTCATGTCTCTTGTTACTTACATTCTTTGCTGAGGTGCAAATGTGTTTTCACTAAGCTGGTGTTAACTAGGAAGGGGCTGCTGATGCTATAGATGCATTCGCCGCAAGGACAGGGCTAAGGCTCTTGGACGGAGGAACTTCCTGTTGTTGCCTTGGAAGTACAGCTTCGAGTAGCCCTGCTTCATGCTGACTCCTAACAGAGCCTCCTTGGAGTCAACTCATCCTCAGGAGAAAGTCACGGGGTGGATAGGAAATATCTGGCTAGACCTAATGGCAAGGCTGACCATTCAGACTCAGCCTCAGACGTTGTGGTTCATTTCAAATATTAGGAAAATTAATTCACTTGACCCTAAAAGTAACCTTTAAAGGCAGCCAGCCAAGGCCCCTGTTAGGCCTCAGGTTGTCTTTCTTTGGTTCTGGTCTATTTCCTCTCCTGTCTTTTCCTCTCTATTCTCCTGTTTTCCTCAAGGCCCTCCCATCTTCAGACTGCTAGGCTAAGCCTGCCAGTCAGCACCTGGACCCAAAGCTCAGCATCAGACCGAAAGAGCATGCTGCTCTGCTCCTTTTGAGTTCCCATCTTACAAGGTGTCAACTTGTCCCAGGGTCCACATTCACTCCTAGAGACCTCTCTGCTGCCGGGTGGGTAGCTGTAGTCAACCTGAGGTCAGGTAACCAGACAGGGAGCAACAGGGCAAGTCCAACTGTGACAGAGTTTGGGGCCTACAAAGATGCGAGTGAGGCTCAGCAGCCAAGCTGAGGAGAGAGAGTTGAACGGCAGCAGTTACAGTTGGAACGTACGCAGCAGAAATAGAATCCATTCTTTCTATAATAAGATGCTGGGGACTGCAGACCCTCAGACCCTGAATTTTCTGCAACCCCTTGCCTGCCGGAGTAAACAACTTGTTTTCCTGTGCTTGCAGCTGCTCTGGACATGAGACCCTCATGAGTTCCTGATGGCAGGGGAGTGATTTCTGGTGGGCTTGCAGATGAAAAATCTCGAGAACTAGGGCATGGACATTAGTCAAGGAGAGCCTATATAAGCTGCCCTGGAACACAATTAAAGGGGCATTCTTGTTTCAAGGATGATTTCTCTCTCTCTCTCTCTCTCTCTCTCTCTCTCTCTCTCTCTCTCTCTCTCTGTGTGTGTGTGTGTGTGTGTGTGTGTGTGTGTGTGTGTGTGTTTCAATTGCCAGCCCCTTGCCCAACTCGATAACCGTCCCATAGTGTATGGGCCAAACGGTATAATAAGACATGTCCTGGGGAGGAGGAACTGGGTGAGAGAGCCCATTCCTTTGTGTGGATACCCCTCCTGAAACCCACTGTCTCCTTCCTTCTGCAGGTGCTCTCTCCGTGGCTGACAAGAAGCATTTCTGGCCCAGCTGGAAGTGAGAAGAAAGGGTGAATCTCCTGAAGACCATCCCAGAGGCAGTGGGATCACCCAACAGTAAGACATGCTTTTCTACCCTTGGACGTGTGCTGAAGCCTCCACCCCAACACACACACACACACACACACACACACACACACACACACACACACACACTGTCCTTCCCCAAAAACCCCCTCTAGCAGCAATTGGCCGCCTGAGCAGCTGTTTAGCAAAGACAGCCTCTGATATCAAGCACTGCCTGCATCTTTTATGTCTCTCTGCCACCTCTCTAGCCAGGCCTGTTGTGAGCTCTCTGCTGCTCTTCATTTTCCATGGGGTACGGGTGAATGGCTGTTGCACACACCTGTGCTGATGACTGCGTTTGCACAGTGCTGGAGCAAGTGTCACCCAGAGATGTTGGTGACAAAGGCCAGTCCCCTAGTCAGAGACCCTTACCCTGTGAAGCAGGTGAGGACTCACACATGTGCACCCCAAAGGACTTGATGAATGGGAAGGGAAGAAAACTGCACCCCAGGGGTTTACGATGGGTTTGGAGAAGTAGTTCCTTGGACTGGATTAAGCACTTTGAATAGAGAACTCGCGTTCAAGCCTCCTAGCAGGCATGAGTGCGGGTTTTATTGTTGTGGTTTAGTTTTTTGGTTTTTTAACTCCCTTCAGATCCCACTGACTTATGTAGCAGTGTGGTTAGCGATTTATAAGTCCATTACCCAAAACCACCCCTTTGTCTTCCTATATGCCGTGACTGGGATTGGGTCTGTTATGGTGAGATCCAGTCCCGACTCCCAAGGACCCTGTCTGGGATTTTATGTTTTCATGATGTCTTAGGGCCCCTGTAAACCTCACCATCCTCCAGCTTTCCTTCTGAGTAATTATTGTGTATTGCTCAGAAAAACCTGTTTTTTTTTATAAAGAAGGAGGAAGTTGGTGACACACACAAGTGAATGTGGCTGTCCCAGTTTCTCAAGTAGTTAGTGGTCACAAGCGCTCATAGAAGAGTCTGAGGAGAAAAGAGCAGGCAGCCCTGACTGTCTCAGTTCCTGTCCAGATGCACTGTGGTGCTGGTGTAGTGATGGGGGTCAACATGCTTTGCCATGAGGAGACATCCACGGGGGTCAAGACAGAACTACATTTTGTGGGGGACAACTCCCCTGAAGTCATGGCTGACAGTCTTATTGGCATTTGGAGCCCGAGAACACAATGATGTAGTTCAATGTCCATAGAGGCTGGGAGAAGACCTTGAGGAATATGGAGGGCACATAAAAGATAGAAAGTCTGAACCAGACTTGCAGATATGGTGAGCTACCGTGAGCATGTTGCCTCCTGAAGCTAAGTCTAGCGATTTTCTGTGAGACTGAGGTGGCACTGTGGCTTTCCCCACGGACTACCTGGTAGAACTCTACTCTCTCCTGGCTAAGGTTGTTGCTAGCCTCACACAGCCCAGCCTGCACCCCTTATAACTGCTAGTGTATGGGGAGAGAGTTCACCTGACAGACAGCTCCTATGTGGCTGTGTCTTTCTGGAGAATGGGGGCTTCTACCAAGAAGTTGGGAGTCAATTCAAATAGGAACCCAACCTCTCACCCTAGACTCCCTGACACACTGACTCATCACTGAATTGTCTCTCCAAGTGAGCGGCAGGGTGGTGTGTCCTGGAACCTAAGCACAGTTGACACTATTGCTTGGATGGGTGCTATTGGCAAGGACGATTTTTGTAGCTAATGCTGGAAGTGTGGCAATCAGAGAAGCCGCCAGCTGTCTCACTTAAATTCTTAGCTCTCGTTCTCTTTTTTTAAAATCGTTTTGCTTACATAATCCACCCCCTTTTTATTTTCTAATTCTCTCCTTGCAAAGCTGGCAGCAGAGGGGAAGGGCTGGGGTGGATGGGGTAGCAATTACACATCAGTTTGGGGAGCATTTACATTTTGCAATTACAATTTAAAAATAAGTCTTGTTAATGATCTCCACGTGTAAACGACAAACCTTAACTGACATACATATTCTCCTGGGTCTGCGTGCCTGCCTGCCTCCCTGCCCCCCCCCCTGCCGCCAAGCTCAGTGGAGGCAGAAGTTCCCAGGGAGACACAGAAGGGGCTATGGAGGCTAACTCAGATCTAAAGGACAGTGAGGGCCATTAATGTGTGCCTGAGGTTGGTTAGAGGACAAAGGTGGATAATCAAAGCTAAGGATAATCAAACCAAGGGCTCCGGTGTCTGTTCCTGCTTGTACTCACGCTGAGTGTTGGCTCATGCCTCTGAGGTTCAGAGACTCATGGCCAGTCTCTATGTCCTTAGGAGGCGCACCATCAATGCTCAGAACTGGTGGAAAAGAAAACCGTTTCCCCAAACAGCAGGTGCTTTCCCAAGTGGGAACTTTCTAAGTCCTGTTGGGTAAACATGAGTTCTAGCCCATCCCCGTGGTCCAGTGGAAGAACCCAGGCAGTGCTACCCTGTGCCAAGGAGCTGGTTCCCTGTTCAGACTCCAGAAGGGAGCAGCACATGTTGTCTCCTCAGTGGGAAGGACATGCCAGCATGTGTTGATGGGAGTCCTTTGATTTCGCATAAACTCACATTTGAACTTGACCCAGCAAGAGTCCGTTCCTAGCTGGGCTATTTGTTGGCTGCAGGACTTGGGCAAGCTCTAGAACTGGGGTCTTTTATCACCATTGCTCCTTGTCCCCCTCTCCGCTCTTCCCCAATCCTTCCTTTGCTCTCTTCCTTTCTCTTTTTCTTTTTTATTTTTTTTCCAAGAGAGGGTTTTAGTTATGTAACCCAGGCTAGCCTCCATCTCCTTCCCTAGCCTCCCAAATGCTGGAGCTACCTATTACAAACCCAGCTCATCATTGTCTATGTAACTAGAACAGAAACCGCTCATAGGGCTTTCGTGGCAGTGACCTCACACAGTTCTGGTGCCTGGGAAATGCTCAGAAAATGTCACCTCTTTTCAAAGACCCTCTCTAGCCGTTCCAAGGAACCTTCTTTCTATACTGAATCTGTTTCTTTCGAGCTATCGTGAATACTAAGCAAGAGGGCTCTGGCCTGATTTCTCCAGGCTTTTCCAATGTCCAGCCACCTTCCTGCTGGGCACTCCCAAATGCTTCTCCTCTTCTGAAAGTTTTTCAAGAGCTCAGCATCAAAGTCCTAGTCTAGGTTTCCACTGTTGGCTAGATGCTCTGCCTCCTCACGTGCGGTTCTCTTTCCTAGGCACTCCTTGGGCTGGTGGCCCTTCCTTTGCATCATCCGTCTCTGGGCCCCTTGTAAGTCTAGTGTCTGTGAAAGAAGAGCATGAGCCAGAGGCCCTCTAAGAAGTCGTTCCTTAGCTCCCCTCCACCCAATCTCTGTGCAGATGCTATTAGTCTTCCAGGCAGCTCCACTTAGGTCAGTCTGAGCTAACACTGGCAGTCAAGGGCTCACAGTTTCTGCAAGTCATGGTCACACGCACCTGCAATCTCAGGACTGGGGAGACCAAGGCAGGAGGATTGTCAGCTTGAAACCAGCCAGGGTTACATAGTGAGACCCTGTATCAAAATGATAGCAGTAACAATAACAACAACAATAATAATCCTATATCTTATAGGATTTTTAGTGTATAGTATTATATAATATATAAATCATACTATATATTTATATAGATTTAAATCTTAACAGTGTAAAACAGACAAAAATAATATATAGTAGTATATATGATGCAATATACACAATCCTATATGATACTGTATATCATTTACTATATATTATATTCTATTAAATCATATAATATGTAGTATTATCTATCATATGTGTTACTCTATATGTTACTAGTATATACATTAGAATCCTAAGTTCATGTCTCTTTTGTCTTTCATCTTTTTTTATATTTTCCCTTTTATTTTTGTGGTTTTTGAGGCAGTTTCTTTCTGTAGCTCCTGGCTGTCCTGGAAATCATTATTGTAGATCAGGCTGGTCTTGAACACAAAGCAATTTTCCTCCCTCTGTCTCCTGAATAATATCTCAGGCAGGCATAATCCACAATGCTTGGCCTTTCTCTTTCAACTTGATGGCATTTCTTTTTCACTATAACTTTATTTCTAATTTTGCAATAAAACTATATACTCTATATTATGATTCTATACACTATTATGGTACATAAAATGTAATACTTTTAAAATGTTTTAGATTCATTTATTTTATATTTCATATGTATGATTGTTTTGTTTGCATGTGCGCATGTGTGCCATATGCACGTCTGGTGCTCTCTGGACATTGGCTTCCCTGGAAATAGAGTTAAGGATGGTTGTAAGCTGTCCCGTATATGCTGGGAAGGGAACTGAATCCAGGTCCTCTACAAGAGCAACAAATGCTCTTAACCACTCACTGAGCCATCTTTCCACCTCCAAATATAATGCTTTAAATACTATGTGTAATAATTTTTGTTAGAGGATATATGCATAATATATAGATATATAAATAAAATTTACCTGAGCATGGTAGTACATGCTTATAATCCCAGCCCTCAGGAGGCTAAGGAGAGGTCAAGAGTTCAAGGCCAGCCTGGGCTACATAATGTGACCAGACCCTGCTTCAAAAATGAAAATGTAGTGGTGCACATGTTTAATCCCAGCACTCAGGAGGCTGAAGCAGGCAGATCTCTGAGTTCCAGGCCTGCTTGGTCTACAGAGTGAGTTCCAGAACAGCCTGGGCTACACAGATAAAGCCTGTCTCAAAAAACTAAAAAGGAAAAAAAAAAGGAGAAAGGAAATCTGGCACTGTATGTAAAACATATTATATACCATCTCATACAGTGTGTATATAGTATAGGGGTAGTATATTATCTACATTCTTTACCTTGAGACTTAGAATATTTGCATTCTGTTGCATAAGTGTAGTTACCTCTAGATTCTGACTGGAGGTTATTTAGAAGACTGAGCTATGCTGGGCAGCGGTGGTGCACACCTTCAATCCCAACACTCGTGGAGACAGCTGAATCTGAGTTCAAAACCAGCCTGATCTACAGAGCTAGTTCCAAAGGGCTACACAGAGAAACCCTGTCTTGGAAACAAAACAGAACCAAACAAAACAA